TTCAGCCCATCCAAACATTAACTCTCGAATAACATAGCCTACTTGGACGACGCCATGCTGCATCCATGGTTGCATGTTGCTTGTCACTAACTACCAGCGATAACCGGTTATTTGTTCCCGGCATGCGAGCGGCCGACCCATGAACAACAAATCGAGCTGTTCGTGAACATAAGGGAACAAGCCGCCCGAACTCGGCCAATGAGGTAGCGTAATGCAACAGTGGCAGAAATCTGGGCACGATTTGCAATGTTGAGCTTCAGGTGGTTTTTGATTCACATTATTTTGCCTTCTTCATTGACGGAGTGTTTCTGATATCTTGATCCCAACAGCATCCCAACAGCATTGTTAACAACTTTTGCAACTTACCTGGGACAGTAGCCAAATCTGGCCGCACAGGTTCCTATTACATTCCAGTTTGGAGAGAAACGGTACATAGTGCTTCTCTTGCTTAAGGACATGGTCACTTATAGGACAAGTCCGCATTTGGAAAACTTTGTTCAGACTTTGTTAGAAAAGTTTCAGTCAGTGAGATGGCAAGGCATAGGCCTGTTAGAATCACTTTGTATAAATATCTCCCAGCTGGTAACTGCTTTTGGACACCCACAGTGGATGACATCTGCCATGTCTGCATTATGGCATTTACACCCTACCGAAACTTGTGCTTGGATACAACAGAGTTAAGCATCTTGTTCCAGGATGGCAGAGTTTTTCTCCTTTCCAAGTTTTGTCCTCGTGCTGAGGCATACTAGTGTGTTTTCTTCATCTTTGTTTTCCCAGACATTGTGCCCATCTTAACCTCTACAGTCATCGAGTGCCATCGTTCTGGCTTGAAGAACTCCTCCTTCAGCTACGCGGCCATGCTGATGAGGCCAGAGTACCGCAACAAGATTGACCTCAAGTACAAGAAGAAGATTGAGGCCATTGTCAGGTAAAGCCACAGGTTTTCTTCAATCAGAGACTGGACTCACTTTTCAAGGTTTGGATTAATTTCTCGATGTATTTTGACTGTAGAAATCTTGACTGAGCAGTCAGAAGCTCATTCATAATTTTTTTTCCACAGACTCTTCTCTACCCTCAAAAAAATTGAAATCCCTCAGCTGTAATTTTACACGAGATAAAGTGACGTGCTGTGTGAAAATGAGTAATAATTCGCCAGAGCCACTGTTGAGTATAATACAGGCTGTTTAACCCCCTCATGACTGGATTATTTTGACCGCGACTGCTGGGCTGTGGTATGCCCTGAATGGAGGGCTCTGTCCAGCAGCAGGCCCCATTGAACCAGCAGCTGCATGGTGAATAGACTGTATGTGTGGTATGGACTAATGTTCACACAAAGGTGCTGTAGTAGCAGTCATCCGTAGCAAAGAGTTTAAAGAGTCTTGCACTATTGAAATCAATCACAACCACGGACGGCTTGCACCCCCCACATTATCCATTTTCATAGATACCACAATGAAGAATACATTAACACAAAATTCCTGGCTTGTGCTTTCTCTTGCAAACAGAAACAAAATTTCTGAAAATGTGACCTCATGGCTGATCTTCACAGAATGGGTACTGTCTGGGTAGAAAATGGAAGTTGGTGGAGTGCTGATAGTCTATTGACTTTTCTAGTCTGCCAAAGAATCTTAGAAACAGATTGTATATCTGCAGGAAATCTGGCTTGCTCTCAAGAAAAATCGAGTAATTTGAGGAAATGAGGCACATTGAGGAAGTCAGACATACTGAGAAACGGGGGTAATTTCATTTCCAAAACATCACTGAAGATTAGTGGCAAAATTCTGCTTCATCGACAATCTCCTCCATTTTGACTCCTTCCTCCAGGAAACCAGACAAGTCAGAACAGGAGGAAGCCACGTCACCTTGCCCGTACTGCAAGTATGGCCTGGAGAATACAGAGTTGGTCTGCCCTGAGTGCAAGAATAACATCCCATACTGCATTGTCACTGTAAGAACCACCTCACATTGGCAATCACTGATTGAATTCAAATCCAGAATTCACTCCTATTAAAAAATAAAAAGCCCCAGTACACTGAAGTTACAACTATCAGCAGGTGGAACTTAACCCCTCTGAACATATTTATTTTCATTCTTTAGTTACTTATATAATATCAATAATGATAATATAATATATTACATATATACCTGTACATGTAGCACCAAAGTCACGGGAGTGCGTACAGTTTCTCAACTGCTATGTAGGAATAGTTTGCTGCTGATTTGTACACGAAATGGCGACAAACTTGGAAATTGTGGAGTGCTGGAGAGCGCTCTAGCCTGGGGTCATGGTGCGTGTGCCCGTTGTGCTGAAATAGCTACATGGAGCTGTACACTCCCCAGGGAGCTAAGATGGTATCTGGAATATTTCATAGGAGATTTGATCTTCAAGTGCTACATAAAAAAACACCTGTTATTCTTATTGTTATCAATGTATTCTGGAAATACATCAAGATATTTTACATGGACAGGTCTGTGAACTTACACTTTGTTTGGGTCACCCTTTTCCCCTGGCTTTTTCTTTGTGCAACAGGGACAGCATGTGGTGAGAGATGACTTCTCTGCCTGTCCTCACTGCGACTTTCCGGCCTTACATTCAGAGTTCACAAGGTATGGAAGCCCTCATTTCCAACTCTTGAATTAAAAACGACACAATTTATCCTCTGTCGTCTCTTAAATTAGTATTTATTGTGGATTTTACAGATGAAGCTATGATGAATTCTTCGTATTTTTGTGAGAAAAGAAAATTATAATGTCTGATTACTCTTGCTGAATGTATTTGCTCAGAGCAATGATATTTTAAGGTATTCAGGTTTAAAATATTGATGTAAACCTCCTTGGTGTTGAGGGGTGTGTTCCAAGTTGAAAGAAAGCAAATGAATTGAAAAGGAATTACATTAAAAGGCCAAGTTGAAAGAAAGCAAATGAATTGAAAAGGAATTACATTAAAAGGTGATTGAGTCAAACAAATGGAGGGGAGACTTCGATATTAAGGTTGTCATGAGAAGTGTGCTCATTTAAAGGCAGTTTGTCTCTATGTTCAGTGTGTAGAGAATTTGAATGCAGAAGTTGAAGGCAAATTCCGTCATTGCATTCAGTGTAAATGTAGCCAGAACATACACCCGTGCTAAGAAAAACAGAATGCTGCTTTAACAGTTTCGTCATCAGAGGCATTTTAGCAGACATTTATCTAAGATAAAACAAAAAGGTGTTCATGTGACTTGCATTAGTCCCATGAGTATTTTTTGTTTCTCTGCACAGTTTACTGGATTCAGAGGACTCTTGTCCCATGTGCTCAGAGCGTCTCAAGACCTCCCAGCTGCAAAAGATTGAAGACCCTTCGCAGTACCTACGCCCGGATGAGGGCTCAGAAGATTAGGCAGCGGGAAAGGGGGGGGGGGCTATGATCTGACTTTCAGGATTGGAAAATTGGCGGCAGGTTTTGGCCAGATCTGAAAACATGAGGACTAGGAGTATGAGAGTGCGACAGTTAAGATTGGAAGGCTGGGTAGCAGTCTGGACAAGGTAGTTTCGCTGCAGCACACGGGACAATGTGTTGTAAAGATACGAGCCTAAGCAGGAAAGCAAGGGAAGAGTTTAGGCTTGTAATGTGAGGATAAGCAGTAACCAAGAGGAGACACCGTGATGAAGATGCCCTGGGTTAACCCAGAATACGAGAATTGTATGACAAGGCCTGGAACTGACCAAAAAAAACAAGAACAAGGAAAAATGCGGTCAAATGACAGGCGAATTACTGTTTGCGTCTTGAGTTGCTCCCACAATTTTCAGTCGCTTCCAGCACCATTGTTAATGAAAGGCACTTTCCTTTGTCACCACTAATAGCTTTCAGACACTTTTGTTGACGAGTTTCTTCTAATTCTTTGTAGCTGGACTGTGTCAGAAACAGTCCTCGAATAAATTTGGCCAATGAGAGTAACTTCCATTTTGTAGAGTAATATGCATTACAGTAAATGCATATTTATCGCAGTAAATAAAGACATCTGTGAATCACATCAGTGCATGTACATGTACATGTGTCTACCCACATGTATAGTTTAAGCTATGCAGTGGTACTCTGTTTATCTCGAATCACTAATGTATTCCCTGCCTTGCACCTGCAGTTGTAACATAGGCCTGTGTATACAGAGTTAATGATTTGTACATATTGTAAATTCAAACACCTTGTCATGTGAGTCTGTACATAAATTATGCAAGGCTGTCTGGGTTCAACTTGTAATAAAATGTCCTTCATTGTATGTTTAAGTGGTTGTGGGGAGTCGTGTCCTTGAGAACGCATAGCTGTAGGATGAAGTACTGCAGCATGGTTTGCCATCTGCACACTACATAGGTTCTGTACTTACAGTAACCCCCCCACACACTTGTTTAACATGTAGTGTGGACAAAATTCCTTTGTTCTACCTTGGTTAAGAAAACTTGGGGAAAGTGGTCCTTCACCCACTAGGAGTCTAGGACAATTCCCAGTCTTTTTGATGATGAATTTCTGGATTGCTAGTCTTCTCCTCAATGTTGCGAAGTTGACACTGACCCCAAAATGCCCCGATGTGATTTTACAGCAATGAGAAAACACTACGTGGACGTGTGTGCGAGTTCAGATAACCATAACTAACCCAATATTACATGGATCTCTGGTCTGTGCACAGGTCCACACTGTTTATACTGCGCTTGCACATGCCTACCAGTACATTTCCTCGGTCTTTGAGACGCAGTTAACATGTACACGTATTTGTGCTCAAGTTCATGAGGAAATCGTTGGCAATGTTTACATTCAGCATTTATGACCATGTTATAACTCGTACATAACATGGACAAGCGATAAATACTAAGTGTTATCACAAAATGGTTCCAATGTAGTGCTTCTCACAGACGTCCCCGAGTACTTTACATGTACATGTAGAATCTATTCGTTATTGATACAGCAGTTAACATAAATAACACAAAGAATCTAATTAAACAATAAACCGGGAATTGCTTTGTAAGAAGTAAGTCGTCATTATAATCAGTTTCTGCTGCCCTGATGAATTTGAAGCAAGATATGAGACGGATCGAGAACCCCATTGCTTTGTGCTTGTGTTGGTCATTGTTTCACTGGAATCTGAGGAATTCTTTTCAGACCGTCCGGGGGCATGCGTTAGGTAACAATAGTCTGCAGTGTGCATAGCGATTGGACATGTTGGGGGTACCCCTTGGTCTCATTTTTTGCTGGATATACCTGATGATGCCCCCAAGGATCTCATCAGGTCAAAGGTTTCATCCTCGTCCATCAGCCTCCGATCTCATTACACTTCACATTTACATCTTGCTCAAAGCCCGCGTACCAACACCTGTTACGGTCAGCAGGCATTTGCTGTCGCTGTACCAATTCTGTGGAATCAGCCCCCCGCGCATATTCAAGACTCGCCCCGCACCAAGACTCAACTAAAGACGCACTTGTTCAGATTTTGAAACGTGCATCAAACGCCTGTTTATTGGACTCTATAAATTCAATTTAATTTATTATTATTTGGAAAGAGTTTGAGAGTGTAGGAGCTGTAAATGAGAGGGGACCGATGACCGCAAGATGCGAGTGGCTAGTATGATACAAGTTGATATGTGAGATGTGGGGGTCACGGTGCTCCAACGGGGTTGACAGCATTTGATTAGTTCCTGGAGTAATATCATTAGAGCGCTGGTTCGGTTCTTACATGTAGTTGGTACTTACTTTTAAAGATTACTTTTGGATATTACTTTTAAAGTAAACTGTTAAAGTAACCAAGGCGACATGAAATATCTCTAGTGTCTCCGTAGTCCCGTGGTCAAGGTATCATTTTCAAATCTGACTAATTTGGATTGAGTATACACATGTAACATGTAAGTGACCCACTCGACGTGCTGGACATGTTTAAGTGCGTATCACGTGGGCTTATCACCGTGCACCGTTTAGCTTTTATTTTAACATTTTTATTACGTGCTGGTTAGCGGGGGTGCATTGCTAATTTGCTGTCTGAGAAAAAGAGGGTTACAATGTTATTTCTGAGTACTTACAATATTACCCACCTAGACGTTTCTTCGAGGCTTTCATTGATGATGTATAGGGGCTATTAAGCATAGGAATTACCGTCTTCGTATCAGGGCAGTGGCCAAAACGGCTGTCTTGTTTCGGGTGTGGTAAGTGCAAGTACTTGATCTGGTGGATTGAGTACAATATAAATGACAAGCGCATGACGCAGATTTTAGGTTGACAATATTGTGTCCTTCTGTTCACATGAAACTTGAAAGAATAATGCGATGTTCTGTATGATATTGGGGTACAATAAAACTCGCCGCTGTTTGCACGCTGTTGCATGGAAAATCCTCTTGCTCGTGCGGCGCGAGCTGTTTGGAGCTATCCGCGGCTGGGATGTCGATTACAATCTAGAAATGATGTAATAAGGGGCCTCCATTGTAGGTTTGAAGACCCCAACCATAGGGGTCTTATTCTGATTTCTAATATTCTTCATCCAAGTTTCAATCCAACTCAAGGTGGTCATGGGATCGCCCACGGTGGAGTTCAACCTGCGGGTTGAGAGGCTATGAGACCTTATGAGATTACATGGCTTCACCAATGGCGACATGTATATGTACATTTAGGCCTAAAAATGCCTCTTTGTATATACTCCATATATATATACACACAAGAAAATATTCCCATTGAATGTTGGATCCGCACCTCATGGATATTTGCAACGCTTGACGATTTCGAACTAGTTGTAACACTGACGCATCCATACATTAGAGCCTTATAATTAGTATAATTATTATGATAATTGTACGGAAACAGAATACTGGTCATTTTGCCTTGAAGTCGTTTCTATGGTGGCTCTGAAGGACAGCGCCAATCGTCAATATTGAAGTCAAAATTCAATATTCAAAAGTCAAAGTCGCAAATGTTGACATCAATCTTCGCGTCCAAAATTTACGTTTCACTAACCGGTGATGAATATGAGACGTCGTCAGTATTCGTGACGTTGAGTAAGTCGCGAAATTTGGAAGTCAATATCGACGTTAACATTGACGATTTGCGATGTCCCTCCAGAGCCATCATACGTTTGATGTTTTTTAAAACACACGTTGAGCATTTCCATATGGAAAGCCCTACTTGCCTGGTGCCGGGGTTATACATGTATCCGGATTGCCAGCCATCATATTGATTTTCATGTTGTTTGATTTAATAATGGTTTTTCACGTACCATCTGCAAGAGTGGAAGTTGGGAAAACAGGGCAATTTTATTGCATTGAAGGTACTGAGCAATTCAATCCGAGCCCCCCGTTTTGTTTAAGGACACCTTGTGATAATAACAAATTATACCCTTAATGTTTTATGGGAAAGTTCATCAGTTGTCGTTTTTTTCATTTCTCACGACTGATATGTTGACAAGGTTATCTAAACTGATCAAAGAAAATCTAAATCTGTTGGATGTGAAAAGTAGCATTGTCAAGGAGAAGCGTTGTTCGCTCACCCCTTCTCTGGATTGAGAAATCACTGATTGGTTGTTACACCCGCATGCTGCGGTCACTTCTTGGTATCTCCTGGTCAGAGACAGTGTCCAACCTATGTTCGTTACCGTGACCCCCCTGGGGTCGTTGGACGACACAGCGACTCGCCGAATCTTGTGATACTGGTGCTCGGTCTATAGTCCTTGTCGTTGCAAATACGTGGAGACATAGCCGTAGCCTTTGAAACGTGATTTGGACACGCCCTAAGTTGACATGCGATTACAATCGTTCTCTGTGAGTTTCCCAACATATGTTCGTAAGTGGCACATTAACAACCGAGTTCGCACCCGAAACGACAGCAAAAAGGAAGGTTCTGTACGGTTGTTGGAAAGTTGAACCATCTGGTAAGTGAACATTTCCTAAGCTAAGTAAATGGAATGATTTTAATTAAAGCCAGAATCCTCCATTTTAAGCCTAGCATGAAGGGTTTCCGGCCTAGTGTCAGCCTCGTCATGGGGGATGCAGAGCTATAGGCCTATAACTCCAAAACTTCCAGACAGAAAAAAGAAAGACTGAGAACTTGAAACCTAATGGCATTCCAGGAATTACGTAATGTATGAGTTGCCATCTTCCATTTTCTGTTTCATTGGAAAACGGTCCACGGCTTTTTTTTTTAAATTTAGAACAAATTTTAGGGTCAAGTGCCATCCAATTCCTAGTCACATAACCTCGTAGTCCTGTTCAGAGCTGGGAACTTTCATTAATCGCCAACCTGATTTCGAAAAATTAGTGTAATTGACACGACTGAAAATTAGGGGTGGAGAAACTGGAGATTGGGCCGGCAGAAGGAATTTCGGCCGATGCGGTTAAAGAAAGTGGACGGGTTTGGTGCATCACCGGATATGGCAGAGCAGTGAAAATTGAAGTTGATAGGACGTGGAGCTTGGATTATAAATGGGATGCATTCAGAAGGAGAGGTAGTTTTTATTTATCCCCTTGCAATGTACTTAGTTGAGGTTTTGTGGATTTAACAGCGTTGTAGTCCAAAATAAGTTTATAGTGATAGTAAACCTAGAGCAAGGGTATGTTGGAACTTAAGCATCCATGCAAGGGTTCCCTATATCACCCTGACCTATGTGAGCATCGTATATGATAGTATCGTGGACATACCGTGCAATGCAGAAAATTAACAGCGTTTTTATGGATTTCGTCTCTCTGTTGTCTCTCCGACTCGTCAGGAGCCTCTGGGCCAGGCGCTGTTCTAGAGCCATTTTTTGGGGTGGGGGTGGGGGTTGACCCTTTAAACGTGATAAGTTTAATTATCACCTTTTAATTTTCGCTACGGTTCATTACCGGTAGCTTTAATTGGGAGTCGAAAAAACTCTATGCATGTACAGCGCGGTTTTTTTGCACGTCATAGTAGTTAATGTAATATTTTTCAGTTTTTTTCTGCATTTTGTCATTTTGTGGGGGAGAGGGCTATAGACAAGTACATAATTCGGTACAAATAATGACGTAACCGCTCTATGTATCTTTTTGTCGCAGAGCAGCAAATTCACCGTTAGCGTATATGGGACGCCCTCTTTCGCTATGAATCACCTTGCGATAGCTTCATTTTTCTACTTTGTGGCGGGTATGGTTTTTTGATTTCATGCAGTAATTTTGCCACGAATGTCCAATCGTTCTTTACTACGAGAAAAATATCTACACGCAAAAAGTGTCATATCCGTTCCGCGTTAGCAAGATTAACTCCTTGAAGAAAATCCAACACAAGAAACCTTGACTGTCAGATCGGCATGGACGGAGACTCTATCTCCTTGGGGGATGGGGATATCTCTCCACTTTTTGACGGGGGGGGGGACTAGCCTACCGATATAACCATACCTCCATTTTCAAGTTACTGACTCGGACTATGCGTATATAGCCTGCACCACCGTGCTCAGCACTCGCCAACGTCACGATCTCACTTGAGATAGAGGCCGTGGTGAGCTTCCCGTGAGAAATCATCCCCCTCCACGTGACAAGAAATCGCCGTCCATGCAGATCGGACATTTATTTATTCAAATGCAAACTCTTCGAACAAGTTGATCTGATAACATAAATGTGCGGAATTGCTGAGTACAATATCTATCCTATATTAATTTGATCATTTTTGCAGTTTTCACCCTGAGCGGTGTAGAGGCTCAAAGCACAGGCAGTCTGATGTGTTACAACTGCACCTACACCTCTGTCCTTGGATTTGATGTTGGAGAAAAGGGTTGTTCGGACCCTTTCAACTCTGCAGGGATTAGCGATATATCATGTGATGGTTCGTGTGTGGTAAGGGTCCTGATCATGGCTCTGCTGTAGAGTTCAGTCGACCAGTCACTTTGACGTGGTTTTCTTATTGTCATTTCACACGTTCGCTTTGTCAACAAAATGTGGAAACCCCAGGAGCCTGATTCCAAGAGGAAAAAGTGGAAGGAGTTTTAGTGTAAAGTTACGATTGATTAAGTAAGAATACAAAAAAGTATTTAGCCGAGGAACTGTGAAAAAATGTGGAATTCAACCTGGTATGTCGAACTGCATCCGAAGATACAAACAGTCTCACTTTACATCTTTCCGCAGTCTGTCGCGACATACCAGATGAGACTACGGATTGGTTGGCTCGCACAATCTCAGCACGGTGTGTTACCTAGGTTTCGGTGGTATATTGCACCAAATACCACGCGGTCCGTCTGTTTGTAGTGTAAACAATCTCACAGTAAACCGTTGAGTTTGATTTTGAGCGCCCAGAATTCCGTCACACAGCTTGTCCGTGTAAATGGTCCCCAATGAAATGTTGATTTTCACCTCTCGAATCAGAAACAGAAGCTGGAAGGAAACATTCCTAGCACGACGAGGAGCTGCTACACAGCCTCGGAAGGCGACTGCATTCAACTCAACGGAGTCGAGATCTCCCCTGGGAATCACCTCTACCAGTACTGCTGCACCGGCAATCTCTGTAACAGCGCAGCTTCGCTGACCTTTAACTTCGTTGCTGTCGCGTCTTTATGCGGCGCTCTTGCTGCCAAGCACTAACGGAAATCACTCTGGTTTGTGAGTCTGCCTATAGTTGGTAAGACCGATGACACCCTAATCTTTTTAAGTTGTCGGTCTCTTTTGGACTGAATTTCTGTCAGATACTAAAAACTCCAAATCTAAATGATTTGTGGAGATCAACATATTAACATTTTCGACAATTTCCTTTCAGCCAACCTTAGGCCTAATGCCTATTGATAGTTCGTCACATGTATCTTCATAATAATTAATATATACTTCATTTACGTAAACCATTGCGATACTATACAACGAACGTTGCAGCGCGAACCATTTTACGCGCAATTGTTTGAATTGTCTAATTCTCCAAATCATGTTGTTGACTCAATAACAGACAGACTCCAAAAAGACCAGTGGACCTACTGGTTGTTGATGTTGAGCTTTTAAGCAAACCGAAACGCTGTCAAATATTGCGGCAGATTTGTGTCAGAACAGCCAAAAATGTCGTACGCTGAACTGGAATGAGCGAAAACGTACAAGATATGAAGTGCTTGGTGGGCTGGCAACGTCACATTTGGCCATTTTTAAAAATGAGCCTGTAATTTACGAGCCGCTTCCGCGTGTAGCATGCAGTGCGTGAACAGTGACATCCCGAAAGCAGAGAGTTGCCAATTCAACCTTAATTTACGCGATATACTGTATCACGTAAATCGGGGTCGGACCCGCTCGCGAAAGTCATTTAGCGTTCAAGTTGGAGGAAGAGTGCATTTTACACCCCAACTGCTTGATGCACTTGGGCTGGACAAGACTCGAGAAAGAAGTTTTTCTGCAATAATTTTTAAATGGTATACATGTACATGCATGTGGGTTGTCATGTCTCACATTGATTTTAACACTTGCGCGTCACCTTTAGCCTGAGCTCAGTGATGTCATTTCGTCACCAAATTGTACCGACATTTTATATGTTTACCCGGACATCCACTTTGATTTTACACTAACAATCTAATTTTTGAACCTGATAATTAGAACATTTTTAATTGTCCATGGGTAATTTTGCTTTTAATTTTGGGTTGTTTTAGGCTTACTCATGCTTTTGTCTTGTCAGTTTTACTCTTATTTTTAGTGAATGTGTAGAGTTTTAATAAAGTACATGTATATGTATAATCCATTCAATAGTTTATACACGAGTTTCTCTTGAAAAGTATGTTATTGGTGTTTCATCTACATTGTGATAAACACTAAACGCCTGACGTAGATTGGTGGGGAAGCTGATAAACTGGGATTCATCGCCGGACCTATAAAGTGGGCGGAGCTCGTGATAAGCCAAGATTATCATTGGCCAATTGCGCGTATGTCGTGCCAGAGGTCAGCCAGGAGATTTGCATTAATCACTACAAGAAGACCCATTGACCCCCATCTTTTACCGCCTGTCCAGTGATGCTTGACTGCAGTGCTGACGTTCAAAACATCACACTGGAATCATGTCGTCTCGTCAATGAACCGTAACATGGCGCTATTTCAGTCAGTAGTCGTACAATCTGTTATTTATGCAGTTTGGCCACATTCGGTAGCTATGCCAGTCTAGCTTTCAATTCAGCTACCAGGAAATCGATGGACAATGTGGCATACGTTTTACAGTGTCAAACACCCACTGTTGTCTAACGCTTTTGACCGCTGAAAGTTACTGAGCTACTGCCCCGCTGTAAGAAATAAGTTATGGAGCTTTAGATGTATACCTGACGCTGACATTTTATATTTATCCCTAAGAGGGATTTGTCTACACTGAAATCAATGTTTACGTACTCACTTGATTCACGCACGGCCCGTCCGATAACTTTGCATTTTTGGAGATGTTATCCGCCTCGAGCAGAAGCACCCTCTCGTCGGTCGAAAAGAGCCATATTGGTTGTTCGTTTGTTGGTATTAATGCGACTGTAACATGTGCATTTCCTAGTCGTTCGTGAACCAGCGAAGTTCAGTTCCGATGGAAGTAGCCTCCTCTGCTAAGAAAAGAGCATCCTATCTTGGTCCAGCTCGCTACTCCGTCAGTTTTTCTCAGATCCACAGTGCAAGATTTTCCGCCTGAAGCAAAGCCTAAGCTTTCATTGCAAACACTATACTTGCACAATTAATAATTCCAGTTGGCATGCAGCAGTTATACGCAGTTCTTAGATAAGAGAAAGCGGATCTATCAGTTGCGTAACTGCAGTACATTTTGCAGGGGGACCGAGGGTTGGAGCTCCTTCTCTGGAGGGGAACTAGGTCCGGTCACAACTTCGGTCACAGTTAAAACAATTACCGTCAGGAGATTTTTTTCCTTCTCTAGTTTCTGAGCGGGGGGGGGGGGTGGCGGGGAAGGATGTTATCCCCAGAGATACGCCACAGAGAGCAACATTCGGCGCACATTTTGTGACCGAAGATTCCCAGGTCCCGTTGCACTTTCATACTCTTTGCGCACTGTCTCCCAAACACAGTTCCCTGTCAATGTGCGCCCCCAGAAAATGAGAAAAGTCTTTTGGGGGAAGGGGGCCAAAGACCTTGTCAACAACAAACTGACAAGCCAAGGATGAATGGTTGGAATCCTAGGAATTTTCAAGGAAACTGGTGTTTTGCATACACAGGTACCTCCTTTCTTTTCCCCCATCCTTTCTCCCTTTTCTAGTTGTCGATTTTCTTGGGGGCAAACGACACCCAAGATGTTCCTTGCCTATTTCAGGGTGTCAGGGGAAAAGACAAGTACATGTATGCGCTTTGCAACGTCGTAATGCACCAACTGTAATGGCTGCTCCTCGCAACTTGAAGAGTCCGCATTAGCTCTACACAACGATGGTTAACGTTGAAGACTATCATGTACTGCCCATCATAATAGTTGCCGGCTCGGGCATTATGACTTGGCCTTTACCCATGCATGCTCAATACTTTAAAACCTACAACCCTACATGTATCATTTTACTGATGTCACGGAGCTACTTTATAGCGCCATATGTTATGGGGTAAAATTACATATACAATGTACATGTATTCAATTTTTGTTATTCCTATTCTCTCGGTCTTACGGACTGGGGAGACCCTCTGCAGGCGTACGACTAGAGGTGGAGCAGATGCAATAAACGATGCAGTGGCATCTATGATAATAGCTACCTGATCCAGAGCTGTCGCGCCAACTTCCGACTTTGAAACCAAAATGGCTTTTCATGATGTGTGAAGTACAACATTGCAGCTATTGTGCGCTAATTTTCCATGTACATGTACACTGACGCGTAATCCACCATTTTGGCTCCAACAATTGAGAAAGTCATGTCGCAATTCTAAATCTAAACAGCTCTGGCACACGAAGGAATTAGGGGCGCTCGCTAAGGTAAGTCGCTTCATTACCAGCACACTGTTGTAGAAGTTGGTACCCTTAATATTTCTACACAAAACCCCTTGCACAAGGGGTTTGTGCAGAAACCCTGTCAGACCGCAGGTATCTACTCCTAACCAAGTTCAATTAACTCGGCAGCCACAGGGGAGTTCAGACTCGGTGACTGCTGAAACCGCAGTGTATGCTGAACCCACTATGGNCAGATTTCATTTGATTTTCAATTTTTAGTAGGTTAACCAATGGATTTTTTAATTATCCGCCCAAAACTCATCCCCCCAAAAGTGAATGTTGCCAAGCCCTCCCAGCGGCCATTTTTTCAAATGACATCCCTCACCTTCCTGGGGCTCGTCTGACTAATTTTCAATCCAATTTTTGTCTGCTTTGCCCCCAGATGGGTGCCCCTGAATCTACAGAGATGATCCTGGGCCATACTGACACAATTCCACCATTTCTTGGCCCAAACAGACCCCTCTTTTTGAAACAATCTCTGCGGGTACTTTTTCTGCGCCTCGGCCTGGCGGAGAATTTTCCTTGAATTGGGACACTGCACCCCTATACAGTACATGTGTTTATGCATGCTCACAGTGAACATTGATTATGTCGGTGACCAGGATGGTATCAGAAGGCCGTTTCAACCTCTTCTCGTTTTAACCCTCCACTTTTCTGTCGGTTGTAAAAAAATGTAAATGCATGATGTTTCGTCATGGGTGTGGACAGTTACTGTTAAATAAACTTTATGCAGTGGGGATTTTTTGCCAACATTTTCACCAGCTTGATTGCCCCAACCTTGTTTGTGACAACTCATCCTGTTTGTTTTCGTTTAGTTGTATTTATAAATTTACAAATTAACCGTGATCACAGAAATTTATGAACATTATAAC